TAGGAGTTCAAGTAAGGTGTGTTCCCGCCTCTAGTTATAAACCTCGTGTTATTTTTTTACTCCAGAGCCCTATCATCTCCGGTTAGATTTTTCCTCTTAGCCAAAATATAAAAAAATAAATAAAATAAAACTGCAGTTAATATACCATTCAAATTATATTATGTACCTTTGCCAATATAGCTACTATCTTCTTATCAACTATTATATAATAATATTTGCGTATTAAATGAAAATAGCTTGAGACTTCTTTTATTGTTTACGTATTTAATGTGTTAACCTTCACAAATCAGAGCCGGGCCAATGTTAAACATGAAATATAATACTTTCAAGTTGTCTATATTACGTCTTTCCTTAGAAAATATAGTAATAATAATTTTATAAACTTAAAGCTAAAATTTATTAGACCGAAATGATTTATATTCAATTAATATATTACTAAAATTTTTTTATTAGACTAATAATATTTATACAAGATAAATAACATGTTTAGTAGTCTAATTCAGAAATATTTTAAAACTATATTTAAAAGAATATTTTCTTCTCAGAGCCTATGATACTCACAATTGCACTAGTGGTGGTACCTACTATATTGGAATAATAATTGTATTTTTACACTATCTACATTATTAATACAATAATATTACACTAATATTTTATTTAGATTGGAATATTTGAATCATACCCCAATAACATTGCTTCAATTATTACTATAAAAAAACACCTGCGCTTGACTCACACCCACGCCAACTTTTATGTATATTGGACCAAACTATTACATTGTATGAAACTAATAGTAATGTTTTGTTACTGTGTAAATATCACTTAAAACACTGCTAGATACAAAACATTAATTTTTCTTTATAATTTGGTTGTGTTGCTTTGTTGTATTGAAATTATTTCTTTATTTTGCATCACAATACTGTACTCTTGTTTTATACATTTATATTATAATTGTAAACAGTATTATTTTCACCAATTTCTTAACTCATTAAAATATGTATAAATATTAAAGCCTGCAGGTTCTGGGTATTTACGTTTTCATAAAAATAATAATAATATGGTATGCCAAAACAGACCAATATAATTTGTCTGGAAAGCTTAATGCTTCAGCAAAGTTATAGAAATTGGGAATAAAATTTGAGTCATAAACGCAGACGAGCCGTTTGTCTTACCGACATGTGTGATTGGAAACTAAGCGAAGCTAAGCTTATCTAAGCTTAAACAAGTTCTAATACACTGTTATGGTCATATGTGTACCTCAGCACACCACAACAGGATGTTTGACCTGGTGGCCTGATCAGCTGGGGTTGGGAACCGAATCTGCAAGGAGATATGAGGTAGTAAGGCGAGCTATGGCCAGACTTATCTCCCCGGGAAGCATGTGACCTATATCCGGTGGATGCTGCCTCACACTCCACCTCATCTGGGAGCAAACAACTGTGTAAATAAGTATAAAAGATGAAATGTCTTTCATTGTTGAAAATCGGGATAAATGAAATCTGACTTGATTTCACAATTGTTATAAATATATTATTGACTTTGATACGACATATAAAGGATCAATTACTTTGAATATTATGCATAGTTAATTCTATATAATAACTACTAACCGCTTTCATTTACAATTATACATAATTTTTAGTCATATAGCGGCTTTTTTAGGCTTCTGTCTCCTCTACATTATCTACACTAATGTAGACCTCTTACTTTTAGACGATATCTACGTCAGTCTAACCCAGGCCTAGTTGCTGATGGCATAAATAACTTTACATTAAAAGCTTTTAAATATGAAAACCATGTTATAATTATGTCGGTACTCTGAGTTTGTTACCTGCAGCATACCTAAAGAGGGCTTCAAGAGTTGTTCTGCTCAGAGTCCGGCCTCCATATGCTAACTTGGTCCAACAAGCTGTTGCTCGAATGGGGCCGCAGGCCCACAATCACTACAACCTGGTTGTTCTGCCACTCATCTAAATGTTTCGTGAAGACATCCACCTTTGTTCCGGCAATATTTATAATTATTGCTGGGAGGATTTTGAACAGGTGTGGACCCCTATGTTCAGACAGTGCTCTCTGATTGTGCTTATGGCACCTCTACTGATTCTATTCTGCATTTCCTTCCGTATTTTCTCACTCCAGTATGTTGTTATTCTCTTGGAATTTGTTGTTTGTCATTTATTCTCTTGTATATTGTTGTAATTTTCAAGTTTCATAAATAGTTTCCAATGCAGCGCTCAACATTAGTTTCAAAAAGCTCACAACTTCGATAGATACATACGGTATAAAACTTTTATCGACACCTTCTATGCGTGGCTCCCCTATGACACAGGAACACACAACTTAAACATTATTACCTAACCCTTATGATTCAGGACAGTTTCGAGGGTTAGTAAAAGTTACCCCCCCAAAAAAAGTGCACCAAACCATCATGGCTATATAATATTATCTCGAGTATATTGAAGCAAGAAACTCACCTGGGGTGTCCAGAGTTGCTCTCACCGTGTTGTCATCAGCTCATCCAGTCGTTAACATTGAATAATGTTGAATATTACGCTATAATCACAATTATTCGCGTCTGATGGTTTTGCATTCACTAATCCAGTTCATATGACTCAAGTTTCTTTAATTGTGAACGTTGGAGAATTAATCATTTGATTATATTATTAATCATTTGAATTAGTCATCACAACCCATGCTCCTGTTTAGATAGTACTTTTTTGAGATATACACAAGAGTTGTTACATTCCTGTACAGCCACTAGTACGCGTAGCGTTTCGGGCAAATCCTTAATCCTTTGTTCCCTGGAATACGACCCCCGCCGCGAAGAATCGTGTTTACAACCAAGTACCCATTTTACTGTTGAGTTAAACAGAGGCTACAGTTAAGGATTTGCGTCCAGTAAACTCCTCCCCGGCCAGGAGGAGGATTTTTATTTTAAGATGAGGATATATTTTTTATAACTATATGGACCAACGTACATATATTGACGTAATGGACAATGAGATAGTAGAATTTAATACCATTCATTTCGTAGAGTCCGGAAAATTAAAGTTAAAAAAAATATTCCTAGGCCTATAGTAGCACAAATGTACCTTTGGCCTAGTGTAGCACAAATGTAACCTAGGCCTAGTGTAGCACAAATGTAGCCTAAGCCTAGTGTAGCACAAATATATTACTACCGAGAGTGTGCATTAGGCCAGGACGGTTAGGTTAAGATTTATTAGCAACCAATACAATCTTTTCTGGTGTGTCTAAGTTCAATAGTACCAAATTCTACTTTCTAACTGTCCATTAGTCAATATATGTACGATGATGCACATGGTTACTATAAGTACTATCTAAACAAGAGGCATTGCCACTGTCATGGTAGCCTGGCTCTTCTCACTTGTTACGTTCTTTCATTACAGGTTCTAATTCACTTCACCTACTTTGATCTCAAGACATCGGCCACGTTCACAGTTATGAATGCGTGTTGGTGAGCGTCTTCAAGGCCTACCAAAACTTGGAACACACTCGAGAATACACTTGAAACACACTTGATACAGGCCGAAGTCTCGCCCGGGCGAGGCCTGGCAGGTCACTGGCCGGGGTCTGATGGCGGCGCCACACACACCTTCCCACCAAGCGTGCAGCCTGCACCCAAGCCTAAACAATATATCAACGTTATCACAGTGTAAGAAATAACGTGGTTACGTTGTGCGTTTGTTAGAAGAAAGGTAGGCCCGTCCAAGCGGCAGTCGATATATTCATATCGGCGGCATATTCATCAATTTTAATGTACTGTGTTAAGAATTTGGATTTTTTCACATTTAAGTTAACATTACATGCAAGGTTATGTTAAACACTCGGGCCTAACTAGGTGGGGTGGTTGGCAATTATCATTTGTGGTATTTTTTGGTATATTTATGAAGCATTTAGAAGCGAGATTCCAGAGAAAATTAACTAATGGTTGTTCTACAAAAATACATACTTCATCAATTGGGATTAGTGTTAATGCGTGTTAAGTGGTTTTTCTTTCATAAACTGGGGAGATGGTTGCGTGTACACACACACTCCCGGTGGACACTGCCTCTATGTTGGTTTGTTTAACTGACAGTGCAGTTCGTCCTCCTAAGGATTCCCAACGTTAAGAAATTGTCGTACTAAAGTTCCCGTACCCTAACCCTACCACAGGACCAAAAACAAAAAACAGTACAGTATGTCAATTTCGCGAGCCGTTACCATTTTCTAGCAAGACAATTTTTGGCCTTGTGTAACGCACACGTCAAATTGCGACCGTATTAGGAGGACGGGTTGACTAAGGGAAGAGCTTACCCCTCGGCTTATCTATTTCCAGAGAAAAACAAGAGTTTTCCCACACATCACATACTCCAAAGTTGTGAATAAAATAAAGTAGATAGCTACCTGCCGGAGAATGATATTAAACATTGAATTGTGATAAACTAACAAGCTGTTATTATTCAGTAATACATTTTTTACTTTGATTTATGAGTACCTTTGTAAGCTTGATAACTAAGTACAGAGCTACGCGCGCGCCCACACGCACAAAATACTTGCAACTCAAATTACATTATAAAATCTGGAGTGACCAGCCATGATTTTATCGTCCATCTTGGTTGTGAAAAACAATTACTGTGTGGGGAGGATACCAACTTTCTAGTCACTTTGGCAGCTGCTGGCTGCTTGTGAAACTTTTTTTTGTTACCTCACTTAATTCATAATTTTCATTTTCACTTCTCGTACTGAATGCCCCAAAGTAGCCGAAATAAATGCTCGAGCCTAATTACCGAAATTTTCAATGCGAACCTTCAGGTTACCTAAAACATGTTTAAAACCATTGAGAATTTTGCATTAATGTCATGTTATTCCATGTAATTTGTGTCAAACACCATTTTCATATTGTATTAACCATTAGCAATACGCCACACTAAAGTACTTAGGACAGTATGGCAAACATGGCAAGATGAACATATCAAGGTACTGTATAAATAAAAACTAAGAATTTTGTCATTTTTATTAGATCTTTGTATTTTTGTATTAAGTTACAGTAAGGACTGCCAGTTGTCATGTAATTAATAATTGTATATACAATATTTATTATATATAATATATAAAAGTACTATATTTATATAATATACACTATTATATATTATATACACTATATTATATATAAAAGTGGATTGTTTACAAATTTTCTTCAAATTGATTTTCCTGGCACAATCCACTTGCTACACACTAAAATTAAATCCCTCAAAAACGGGGACAAATTCAAAATCACAGTATGACAACCCCGTGGTGACATCATCTGAGCAGAAATCAACAACTTCTCAAAAATGTTTAAAAAGAAATGTGATTTTGATAAATCTCCACTATAATACCCTCCTGACAGCCCTATTTTGTTTGTTGATGGTTTGCATTCCCGTCAAACATACAGGACTTCTAACCCCTATATGCCCGCAACTGTAAAGCAAAAATATATATATATATTTATATATGAATTGTAGATTTTCTAATTTTTTATTATTTATAACTTTTAGCATTTTTTTTAAACATATACTAACTTTTTTTTTTTACACGGCATTTATATCCAGAATATAAGATAGTTATCATATATAAATCTGACATCCTGAGTTGACCATGTACAGGGATGTTTGCCCTGGCCACACATGGTGGGTGAGAGAGTGTGTGAGTGTGTGGTGTGGTTGAGTGAGTGAGTGAGGGTGTGAGTGTGGTTGAGTGAGTGAGGGAGTGTGTGGTGTGGATGAGTGAGTGAGTGAGGGAGTGTGTGGTGTGGTTGTGAGTGAGTGATGGAGTGTGTGGTGTGGTTGTGAGAGAGAGAGAGAGAGTGTGAGCAAGATTTGTGTCTACAATATTTGCATGTGCACAAGCCGCAGCCATACACGATAGATTATGGCCCCGGCCATAATTAATGTGTGGCCCAAACCAAACAGCTGTACATGGTCTAAACCATATATGGTGTTTTGTGGAATCTAGACCATACATGGCACACATGGCCCTGAACCATGTATAGTACTGTTGGTGTATGGCAAATAGGTCACCATATCCAGGGAAAGAAAACTTTAGGGCGGCCCATGAAATGAGGACAGACATCAACCCACAGTAGACACCAGGCAATACAGCGTGTGTAGACTGGGGAGAGAGAGAGAGAGACCTGCCTGGATCATACCTACAGTGCAAAATGGAAAAATTGACAGCACTTCAGCCGTGAGAACTAGCCATGATGCACTTGGTGGCATACCAAGGTAACTGACTTCTGTTGGCATGAGGGAGGTCTGAACACTGATCGTTACAGTTTAGTATTATCCATGGCAACATGGTGGACGTACTTTAATATGGTACAATTTTTCTGCTACACAATATTGTGCCAGAGGCTTACAGAATACTCAGATTGGCATGCAGATCTGGAAAACAGGTCTCCTATACTATACATCCTTATACCGGTATCAATTAACGTGAAATACATTTGGACAAGCCTCGTGCTATTCTACACAGATGGTATACATTTCTACTTATAGTAGTCGTGTATTAATTGACGACTTTAGTACACTTGCTTATATAAACCTTATCTTATATAAAGACAATAAGTCGGACACACTACATTAGCTTACATCCTCCACCGGCCTGAACTCTTGTGAAGGTCAGGTCTCTCTCTACTATTTATAAATCTCTGCCCTCCAAATATAAGACCAACAACAGCAACAAAATTTTTTGCCAAATGGACAAAGAAAACAAAAGTAAAAACAAATATTACAATTAAAAAAAATGCTTTGCAGCCTATCTTTTGGTCCCCATTTTTAATAAAAAGGTTATTATGCATCACATCTGCACTCAAACAGGCATTTTGTATGCAAAGATTGGAAAAAAAAAGCTAATGAACTGTGAGCAAACCAGAACAAATTAATAAATAGAGACACCCTATCCTATCAGCTATTCCCTAGAAAATGCCAAAGTAACAGCATTTCTTACATCTAGGAAAAAGCTACATTCACATATATACATGTATATAAAAAAGGAGGCGGTGGCTTGGAAGGACGACGCTAGGACTATGAAACGTACAAGGTTCCTCGGCTCCTAACTTGTACGTCTTTATTTCGAAGCAGTATTATGGATGTGCATTTTTGTTTTCTTTTAACGTCAGTTTCTCAATAATCATTCATGCTTAACAAACTTGCGCAGTATTATTTTCAACCCACTACCCAAATCAGTCTCACTGGAATAATGTTCTGATCCACTTTCCTTCTTGTTTATCCTCTTAGTTTTATGTTTGGTTTTGTTGAGAGGGCAAAGTGTGTGTTTGTGTACTACAAGGAAAGTGGAGTGCAGTTGACAAGATGCCCAAACTGACTTTTTAGATGGGAAAATGAACATTAAACTTAAATATTTACAACTGCATTTACAATTTATCAATCTCTTAGAACTTAACAGCCATTATGGTTGTAATTCCAAATTTACAGTACACATGACAAAACCAAAACCTATCTCAAGAATGCAAACTTAAAACCGTTAAGCAGCATTCACGCCAGTACTAGAATATCAGCCTGGCATTACAAGCTTCCGAATCATGTCCTAATTAAAAAAAACATCAAGACGCTTCCTGTTTAACAATTAAAGGAGGCAAGTTTTATCTTATCTTACCCAATAAATCTAGACGTACTCTTGAGGAGGAGGAATGTTACCGCTACAATAAAAATTTGCTGCTGGTTGTGGCAACGTTAACCTCATGGTTTTATTTGTATACACTTTAAAACAGAAGGACAAAGAAAATAATAAGGAAAATCTACTGTACTGTACACACACGTGCAACACAAACTAGTACCTATCCAACATCTCATTTCTGTGCACAGAACAATGAGGAACAAAAAGGCAAAAAACTATAAAGAGTGCCTTATATGACCTAGCTGAACGCTGTTTTAAAACCTTGGTCTCTTGCAACCCAACAATCCACAGTAAAATGAAAACATGTAAACAGTATCTCTGAAACTGTAGAATATTCATATGTACATTATTTCGGCATTAAATAAAAATGAAAAATGAGCGATGATTTCTTTCTATTTATAAACTATATCCCGTTATCAGCCAAGTATACCTTTCTACCATTCACTGAGATCTGCAACAAAGGTTAAGAGAGGAGTAATCATTGAAATGGATACTACTCTCCATAGCAGTTGACCTAAGACAAATCTGTATCTGTCCTAACCGAGTTTGGCAGCGGTTTTATACACGAGGCTCAAATTCAATATGAAGTAAGTAAGTTAATATTTGATGAAGGGGGTTGGGGGGGGGGGGCTGCCCTCTTAAGCTCTATTAGCATTTGACGATAGGTTCTAAAACTGAAGTGGAGAGACACATCCAAAAATGATTAGAAATTCACCTACCAATATGATAGAATCACGTTTCGATTCTTTCCAGAAACGTGTACTAAGCTATCAACAGAACATGTCTCTACAAGTTGTGTCCCCAATGTCAAATGCTAGTCGTTTGACAGACTTCCTTATCCTGACCAAGTTGCACCTTTCTCCTTACTTTTTTTGGGGGGGTTGGGGGGTCTTGCGTTTTCTCCAATTGATCAGCTTTTGGTCATACTCCTTCGACCATTCCTCCGAACTCATTAAAATGAGATTCCACTTTGTCCCTCTTTACAAGTCTCTTACAATTTCCTAAATGCTTGCCCATTTACACTAGCTGATCAGCTACATGTCCCTTCCGAATGATTAGTCAAGCTATGGCCTTTCCTAGGCATTGGATAAAATTAACAGGGGAAAAATATTACCTTAGAAATGTATCTATCCTGACAGGAAGCGATAAACATCAGCCCAAGTTCAACAATATTAAGTTTATGTAAGCATTTGAGCAGCTGAAATACAAAGTGCTTGTACAACTTAGTGAAGTACTAGTGTTCAGAGTGCACAAACAGGTTTATAGTACAATTATGCATCCACAGTACATGTACAGGTCAGCAAATTGTAAGTACTAAATTTTCCTTAAACACCTTGTGTACATCACTCAAGTAATCCAGCAAACAACTCTAGCAGCTACTGAACTACTGAAGTGCTTGCTTAACCACAGAGGTGTTGACCAAAGCACCTTATTAATTACTTGAACACACAATTTTCAACACTTAAATATTTACACAAACACTTAAGGATTTACTTAAACACTCAAGTAATTATTCATAACGACTCGAGTAGTTGCCTAATCAAGAAGTTATTCAGGTGCCCCTTCCGAGGGGGTCCTAAGAGCACCCAGCTCGTCAGTGGAAACTTCTTAATCACAGGACGAGGAAAATGCCAAATCACTCGGGATTTAATGTTGCTGAATGAAGTGTAAGAGATGTTGGGAGGGAAGGGGGGAAGGTAGCAATGGTATAGAGAAAAGATGGGAAAAAGGGATAAATAGGAGGGGGTGGGAAAGTATAGAGGAATATTGGGGCGAGATGCAAGGATGAAAGTAACCATTACAAAAATAAAGAGCCCATCTTTCCAGTCTCATTGACCTGAAGGAGAGATCCCACAGGAGGAGCTTGCCACGTTAAGACGTCACACTAAACTGATAAGAACACCCAAGGGTATCTAACCTAATACCGACACTAGCCTTATGTACACCACCTACACTCCATACTAGTGCAAGAAAACACCCATTACTACATTACATCTGGGGAAAGAAGACAAGATAAAAAGGCTAAAACCATACACTGAACACAAACAACGCTGGTGTTGGGCGAGATATTAAAAAAAAAGAACACCAAGGGGCCAGGTCCGTTGCTGATGATTGAGCTGTAACAGACATGTTTTAACATCAGTTCATGTCTGTTGCCGAGTTTATACAGGTCATTGATGAGCATCTATCCCGGCTGCCCATCTCGGGGGATAACTCCTTCAAATGAGTGAGATTGCGTGGTAGGCAAGTCTGCAGGGAAAGGTGATCACCGGCTCAGGTGTGCACACACATGGAGGGCGAGTGGAGAAGAGAGAGAGGGGGAGGGGGGGAAATAATCGAACCTTCATTGCATAGCTGCAAGAAAATCCATCACTCAATCAACTGGGAGATTTGTAAAACAGGAAAAGGTTTCACCGAAGTCATTAATTACAGAGAGTGGGTCACACCTGTAGGTATCACAGTAATGGTGCTACACCTTAAATCACAGCTTTTTATAGGGGATTGCCCCCCTCCCCCTGCTTGCCCTCTTGCCTAGTGATAGCAAGGGATAGATATACATATACACACTCACACCTTAAGAGTAACCAGAGCACAGTGAAGGTGTCAGGGGACGACTGATTTTAACAAGAAAATTCAAATATAATAAATTCCCACAAGTCCCATGAAATGTCCACAATGAAAGTAATATGCAGATATGAAATTTATGTAACGGAGGGATAATCAAGTCATTCTAATTACAAATTCACATTTCTAAATTTCCCATCGTGATCATCGACGGTGTAGCCTATTATAAATACAATAAAATGATGTGTTTTGGGGGGGGGGAGAACACTGCACACACGAGCCGTGATACATCCTTCCTACTGATTTGTGCTTGCAAGAAAATACTTAGGCCTACTTAAAAAAAAAAGAAATATCGTTTAACATTTACATATCACTAGACGGGCAAGACATGTAAACCCCGCCATTTTAAAAACTAGAAGAGCCTCGTTTATATGCAAGTTTCTCCTGGTTACTGCAGAATTATGATATTGGCTACATATAGTTCTTTAAGATGTCCTTAAGACGGCCAATACACCAACCACAAGTAAAAGTCATTTCTATATCACATTTAGAGGAATAAACTGCAATTACGAAGATGATCTCAACTCACTCAACGTTTACACTTTTCTCTCTCATAAGTTCACACAGCATATGGGTTAAACTAATCTTTACCAATGGATGTGATGTATCTACACATGTGAAACAATCAGGAGAGGATTCATTCATTCACTCGCCTAGAGCTTTGTACCTTCGTGAAGATGGGCTTCAGACGCCCGTGGACTTTTACACCCCCTGGACAAATAATGGGTAATATTTAAGTGAACCTACCTATTAGAGGAGATATAAAACAAATGGTACTAGATGGGCAGCTCCTGAGAGCCACCCAGGGCTGCTTGTGACTGCTGTGGCCTCGCCACGCCGCCGCCGCCGCCGCCGCCACCACCACCACACGGGCACACTCCAACCACAGGTCATCAGTTCATAAATAGGCTATAGGCAGAGCAGACCTAGAGCCATGATAATTTACAATTTGTATGCGAATTACAGGTCAAAGTCAAACTACACCCTGGCCAAAGGAGGGTGTAGATAAGCCCTAGCCAAAGCAAGCTGCTAGTAACAAGGGCCCACAAACTTTAACCAAAGAAAAGGTCTGGTCAATCAACCAAGCGCAAGGTATATATTCTCTGCCAAATAAACTACAGGTAATCCTTGCTCTGGGTACTGACCACACCAGGCTACACAGCCTGGTAAACAACTGCTCTTCTAGCGCGTGGCTCCCTAAGCCACGCTCTACATTAAATCTGCTCTGTAAGCCGTAATTAAGCCGCTGTAAACCACACTCACACGAGACCACATTACCACATGCGTGGTAAACTGTCGAGTCTCAATCTCTGGCGTGTTAATTTCTATGTCCAACGTATGTGCATATCCAGTCTTATTACCCTCATTAGAATGTAATTTAGTTACTCTACCTACACAGATTAAACATCTGCATTAAAGTTTACAAATATTCTCTGCTAATGCAACCGATTGGCACGTACAACAACCCATCTGTAATGGTTTCTGCCAACATACGTTTCAGATATGGAAAAGAAAATAAGCACAAAAGAAATGAAACTGTCAGATGCGTGATCCAAATTCAAACACCCCGAGAGTAACAGTTACACTTTCTTCCCACAGATGGCGTAGGTAGATGCAGGTGGCGTGCCTTGGTTCCGGGTCGTATTGTTGCCTCCACCACAACTCTCCCTCCCTTTCCTTCACGCCGCCTCCCTCCAAATTCATACGTTGTTGATGACTGCTTTTTTAAAGGCAAAGACAAAAAGGACGTGGGGAGAGAGGGGAACATTAGAGATTTACATTTTTTGTTTCGTTGTGCTAATAATTGCAACAGGACGACTTCTGAAGTTAAGTCGGGCGGGTAGGTAGGCATGGGAAGATGTGTTGAATGCTCGTTTGTTTCTCGAGAAGTCTTTGTTTTGTTCTAGAAGCTGCGGACGCGATGTAGCCGCATATCCACTCCTAGAAGACTGCAACGACGATTCCTAGATGCTTCTAGAAGTGATCAGCTTGGCCCTGGATGACCTGGCCCGACCTCTGCTTGATTGCTGGCCAGAGCTGTGGGGGGATGTGGACGCTCCCTGAGGTCATCTCTTCTGCGACCTGTCAAACAATAAGAGAACATGAGGCGGGGGACTAATGAGGTCAAGTCACAGCACTGGCAGTGCCAGCTTATAATTACTAATTTAGCATTATTATATGAAATGTTTTTATATTCTAAATATGGTGTAAGTAATTAAATATTTAAAGTAACCTAAGAATTACTACGAACACACAACTAGGCCTATTTTATATATAAAACAGATCACACAGCTGGTAACTTTAAAAGTTTAAAAAACTTTCAGTGACGAAAGGCTTAAGTCATTCAGCGTCAGATGTAATTGCTCTGAAACAGTAATGAGAAGAGAACTATTAGGAGAAAGCACCAAGCCATTACGACTATATAGCACTTTGAAGGGGTCAGGATGAGAATTTGGGATGGGACGGGGGAAAGGAATGGTGCCCAACCCCTTGGACGGTTGGGGATTGAACGCCGACCTGCATGGAGCGAGACCGTCGCTCTACCGTCCAGCCCAAGTAGTTGGGCTGAAACAGTAGTCAGGACACTGACAGTATAAATATTCATCGATCCCTAGTGAGTTAGCTTTACAAACAACTGCTTGACTATCCAACAGTCATGAGTAGAACCGGAGGAGATAGGGCTGTGAGACCTAACTAGACAAGAGCTTGACCCTATCCTTTGGCCACAAGGTGGTGCTCCGCGGGAACACCCCGGAAACATTTCCAACACATGTTACATTTCAAATTTGCCTCCACACACTGCATGTGAAGGCAATTACGAACTGCGACTAATCACTGGATTCATGCGATAATATTTACTTTTGTAGACGTTTACAGCAGCACCAGACGTATGGAGCAAATTTGTCTAACCAAATGTAAACTTTGAATAATGCATAGCAATGTTTATTTCTTCACCACTCAAGATTGAATATATTCAGTTATTCTAAACGGGCTTAATATATTTTAGAGTATTATTGTGAGTAAACGCCTCACATCTTCAACATCTCTTAAAAGGCAGCAAGAAACTCTGCAATATTCAACAAGACTCGCCAATGATTATTATAGCAGAGATACTCAGTTAGGAGTATATTAGGGGAAACCCTTAACTTTGCCCCAAAGTAAACTATTTCTGTTAGGGGTAGGGCAGTGGGTAGAGGTTGTGGCTGGCGGTCTGTTGGTCGCGGGTTCCGGGCACCTAATAAGTTGATTTTTCTCTGATATACACCACGTTTGTGCGAGTGTGTAAAACTCATGATTGTTATTTCCTACCAACTACCTTTTCAATTTCATCCCAAAACATCACATTTTCGGTAAGCCTTGCTCGCCATTTACAAATATTTGAACATTCTGGACATCTGTTAGATAAATTTACCAGGATGTTTAAGTTGGTACCGATTTGTGACGTTTGAAAATGACACTAATCGTCCAAGCAGATGACACCGACCAGTGTAGAGGCCCAATAACCGCCCGCCAAACACGACCAAACTACGACGTTGATACAACGTTAGAACAAGTTTTAACACCTAACAAGTTGTAACAACCAATATAGCAAGTTGTAACAACGTTCTAATACGTCATAAAGACATTACAATAAGATGTAATAACTATTACAAGTTGTAACAAGCGGAAAATAGGAACAATTTCCGTTTTGCGTTTGCAGGGCTGACTAAGACAATACTATAATCTACCAATCTATAATCTAGGGAGCCGAGCGGACAGCACGCTGGACTTGTGATCCTGTGGTCCTGGGTTCGATCCCAGGCGCCGGCGAGAAACAATGGGCCAAGTTTCTTTCACCCTATGTCCCTGTTACCTAGCAGTAAAATGGGTACCTGGGTGTTAATCAGCTGTCACGGGCTGCTTCCTGGGGGTGGAGGCCTGGTCGAGGACCGGGCCGCGGGGACACTAAAGCCCCGAAATCATCAAGATCTCAAGATAACCATAATTCGGTAATGGGACGCGGAGTTAAGATAGTAACTCGTGGTTGCAAAGGGAAGTCAAAACACAGGCCAGGAAAATAGGTAGTGCGAGTGTGTCATATGGCCGCGTGGACGGTCCAGCACGCCACACACCGGGTAAATGGGGGAAACGGCACGAGCAGCAGGTATAAATAACGCGGGAGCCAGATGTTGCTAAACTGGGCGTCAGATGTACACTTTCTCCCCCTCCCCCCCCCCTACCTTACCTTACCTTTTCCCCCACCACGTGTCTTGCCCCACTCCCTATCACCCTTTGGTCCACGACTCCCCACTACCGTCTAACATGGCGACACTAATGACAGGTGACAAGCAGCAAGTACAGTCTCGCCTCGAGTACCTCTGCACCGTACTGTATGCGGGTAAGTCATATATCAACATTGTACAGCTGTTTCACACAATTAACATATGCATGAGCAGAAAGTTTACTCTCCAACTACTGAAAATGTCAATTACACGTTTTCTGGTACTTTTGATACATAAACGTTTACGTACTTTTCAAAAAATATACGCTTAAGATTCGGCAATGTAAACATTTTATCCCTATTTTACCTTTACCACCATCGCCAAAATTATTTTATCTATTCATTTTTCTTTGGAGAATCTCTGCTGTTTGCTTTTAACTTTCACAAAATATACAAAACTCTATCACTTCATGTCACAAAAAACGGCATTTGATGAACGTGTGTATATACAACGTTCGCATTTTGTTCTGCCTCCATAATAATGTTTTTCGTAAATTCTTGATCAGTACGACAAGTTGTTCTTGCCGAGAGGCCGCGTTCGCCCGGGTTGCCGAGCCTTAACCCTGGAACACGGACATTCTGGCGCCCTCTCAAACAAGGTACGAACACGTCCAATCTGTACTTACCATCGTTGCTTTACAACCAAAACTTGTCATGTGGAACTACTCTTAAATTTTATTGTGGAGAATGTCACTAGTTTTTAGGCTTTTTACATTTTCATACATTATTATACCGTGCCAGTGTTAGTACAATTTTACACGACTATATGAACGAGTGCCAGCAATTTGGCCTTCGAGTAGAATGTCTAGGCACACATAGTAAAGTTTAAAGCATTTTCAGAATGGGTAAATTTCACATTCTTCCATTACTCCCATCGCATTGCTAGACACATGCTATACAGTATAGCGAAAACACAAAATTGAATCTTAATCTGTACATTCCACTTCACTAATGAGAGGCCTAAAAGTCATTTGATCTTGGTATATACGAGAATGTCATTACAATCTGTGTTGTCGTTTCTGGGCTGCCAATCCAGCTTTATCTGCGTTGCAAGACGAACCCTGTCGCTTGATCCCAGTCAGTGGCGTGCCTCGCCTCTATTTCAGTGTGTAGTGACGGTGAAGGCCACATAACTGGGGGGTAACTGTCTCACGGGCCCGTCTCGCCCGCAGACAAGGTCATTCCCACTGCACCCAAGCGTCCGGTGCAGGGAACACCTCTACCACACACCTATAGCCCCCCCCCCCCCACACACACACACACACACACCCCGAGGAAGGTCGCCTTTGCCCCCACTCGCCTCCACTATTACAAGACTAATTTTAAAATAAGTCACCATCTAATCAAGCGCAACGAGATTTGCATCGACCCTTTCACTGCATTAAGGTCAACACAAACATTAGCAAGTTCCCGTCCTGCTTTACCGTCCCCTTCCCCCCTCGGCAAGGTCAACGCGTCCCCCTCAATGAACTTTGAGATGGTATAAATAATTTAAATAATGGTTCGATACCCTGAATGCCAATGTTTGATGGTTTACCTGAAGTTGTGTGTCGAGGTCGGTGCCACCGCCCCATGAATACCACCGCCACCTTCCCTCCCCGCCAACACTACATGTATACCAAACCGTCTTCCCCCCCTCCCCCACTACTACATGTACGTCACGCTCAGCCCCCTTAGCTAGTACTAACACATGTATACCAGATATATATATCTGATGCGGTCACCTTGTCCTCCCTCCCCGCCGTTCACTTCGGCATGCGCTCTGCGTTCTTCCCGGGTCTGAAGATAGGACAAGGGAGTTGATCATCGCTGGAGACGAGTCTGACGAGATGTGGCCACCATATACATGATGATTAGGGATATAGCCAAGGCTTTCCAGGATGCTTGGAGGGCAACGTCGTTTATGGCTTGTATAATTGGAGCTAAACATCTGAACTACCGAGACGGCGCACTCGCGGGAGGAGGCCCAGACATATCTATAACCCAACACAAAATACTTCAGGGTCAGCGTCCTATCGCAGCACGGTCAAGTACCTTACTGGGACGAAAAATGTCACAACCAATGTAGAATAAACCAAATACAAACTGGACTAATTAGGTACGCAGATTGAAGGTCAGTAGGCAATGCTTCAACAAAACTGTCACCACGGAGGAGGAAAACCCATGACGAGGATACAGATTATAAAAACAACAGGAAGATGAAAATATTCAACCTTGATAAATGAGGCGGCAACATTCATGCAGGGAATTCAAATGCCGATTCTTGAATAGGTCAAGTGCTGCACAAGTGGCCTTGGTGGGTCAGTGACGACACTTTACCCTTGTAACAATTAAGGCAGCTAGTGAACCTCTTCTGTGATTGTAATTTAAACTATCTGAAATATTTCCTAGTGCCAGGGTGTTCGTACATTGCCTGATGAAATTAGGCTTTAATTAGCATCTTGCAGGAATTAGTTATTGCAAGATGCATGAAGGTAATTTTTGCAGCCATCACTCTCCTTACCTGAGGGCCCGCTGATGGAGACACAGGTGTGGTTGAGTACCGGGGCTCTCATTGTTCAAGGAGGGTTGATGGTTGCAGAGTGCTGTAACACTTGTGCAGTGCAAATTCAGGGAGTAGACGGGCTGGGTAGCGGAGAAATATGGGGGTCTGGTTAGCGGTCATCATTTTGTCTTGTGTTGACCGTCATTCGATTCATTTATGTTCACTGCGTGCGGGGGCGTCTAGTTACCTGGTTTATCAGACTGTCCACCTCAAGTCGGAGACAGAGCCGTGGGGGGACTGATCCTAGGAAAAACTCCACATAGCCAAGAAGGGAGC